GGAGTAGAATTTTGTGAAATTTGGGAATTAGAATTTTTGTAGATTTAGAGACTGCTATTTTTCATAATTTGGGGATTGAATATTTCGGAAATTTAGGGAAAAAAACCAAAAAGGGGCAAATTCACATCGACCCAATTTCTCGCGACACGCTTCAAGGCGCACTCATAGTAACTCGTTGGTTACACGATTGACCTGTTAGTATCTCTCTGAAAGGGAAAGATCCACCCTCGTCTCGATGCCTCGCTCGTTTTCTTTCTCCCTACCGGCAAACGAAGCCGTTACTCTCGACGACATACTGGTTTATCTGGGCAAGTATATAAAACGACTCGACCTCGTAATCTCTCACCTCGAAACAACCTAAAAATTCCACAAACTTATAAATTACTTCAGGAAAAACTAGTAAAACCGGAGAAAAATAATAAAAAATTCCTACGAAAAAGCACAATTTTCTAAGAAAATTAATGAAAAAATTGTTAGGCGAATTTGGCACATACCAGAAGTATCTCTTCGTCGTACTGATGGTCTTCTGCATGTTTCTCACCTTCGTCTACTTCTCGCAAACGTTTATCACCGTATTGCCAACCGAATACTGGTGCAAGATTCCGCAAGTCGAAGGAATGACCAACGAACAATTGAGAGATTTCATGATACCGAGTATAAAGAAAGTTCCTTACGAAGGACACCATCTGTCCTATTCTCGATGCTGGATGTACGACGTACCTGTGGACAAAGCAGTGTCTGCGAAACAACCTGACGAAAATTGGCCGATGAAACAGTGCAGCGACTGGTACTTCAAATTGACCAGCAGTGACATGACTTATTTGTCCATAGCTGCGGAACAAAGATGGGTATAAATTCCTCTTCCTATTGGTTTATCTTGAAACTAAGATAAGATTGATATCAAATAATCTGGACGAATTAATTGTAGTGACGTTCGTCAGAATTTTTGAAGAGAGTCCTTTGCATTCTAGCCTTTCGTCACGTTTCAACCACTCAGGTTTCAAATATTTTCACATTACTATACCTAGTTGTCACTGTGAAAATAATTAAAAAATATTTCTTCCATGAATCCGAAGAATTCAGTTTTGAATTATTCTTATTAGACAATTCTACATTTCCATAATTACAATTTTCAATTACTCTTGTCAGAGAATTCTACATTTCCGTAATTGCAATTTTCAACTACTCTTCTCAGACAATTCTACATTTCCGTAATTGCAATTTTCAGTTACTCTTATCAGACAATTCTACATTTCCGTAATTGCAATTTTCAGTTACTCTTATCAGACAATTCTACATTTCCGTAATTGCAATTTTCAGTTACTCTTATCAGACAATTCTACATTTCCGTAATTGCAATTTTCAGTTACTCTTATCAGACAATTCTACATTTCCGTAATTACAATTTTCAATTACTCTTCTCAGACAATTCTACATTTCCATAATTGCGACTCGATATAATTTAAAAATCAGTGGCTCACAATGATGCATAATTTCTTCCACCGTTCGACTAAATTTTTTCCACAGCAATTTTTTCACAATGACCACGAAGAGTATTAATGTCTCTGATCGCGTAATTTCCTATCGCTGTTTCCATCATTTTCAGGTCTGCGACGAAGCGTACAAAGCGACACTAGCGCAGAGCATCTTCTTCGTAGGTTCCATCTTCGGAGGTTTGATCTTCGGTTGGATGGCCGATAAATACGGAAGAGTTCCGGTTCTAATCGGAACGAATTTGATGGGTTTCCTTGGAGGTCTGTGCACTTTGTACATCAGCGAATTCTGGCACTTCTGCGTGTGTAGATTCGTGGTCGGTTTGGCATACGACAACACCTTTGTGATCGCGTATATTCTTGTGTTGGAATACGTGGGACCACAATGGCGGACGTTCACCGCAAACATGTCCTTCGGGACGTTCTACACGCTTGGCGCGATAAGTATGCCATGGATGGCTTATGGGATCGCTGATTGGAAGACTTTCACCGTGGTCACCACTGTTCCTCTGATTTCTGTATTGTTCGCGCCTCTCATTATTCCAGAGAGCATCAGGTACATTTCCTTGCGTTCTCGAACGGACGTGGAATTTGATACCATTTGTTTTTGATTGGGTCACGATGAAATGTAGATGGTTGATCAGTATGGGACGTATAGACAAGGCGATGAAGATTTTAGAGAGAATCGAGAAAGTGAATAAAAAAGTAGTTCCACCGGATATATACGACAACTTCCTCGAAGATTGTAGGAAAACCGCGAGTACGTTGGCTAGCGAGACTCATACTATCGCGGATCTGTTCAAGACGAGACGCTTGAGGTACTAAATGTTAAACGCTCAGCTGTATACATTTCACATCGAACATTATACATTTCACGTTCAATTTTAAGCATTGTAATACAGCATACATTGCACATTGCAGACTAATTGGTAAATGTTGCACTCTGCAGATTGAACATTATACATTTCACATTGAACATTATACATTTCACATTGAACATTATACATTTCACATTTCATATTGAATATGGAACATGAACTTTACACATTTCATATTGAATATGGAACATTATGCGTTTCACGTTGAATGTTATACATTTCACATTTCGTATCATACATTTCACATTGAACATTGAACCTTATGGCACAGTGCATACTAAACATTATAGACTAACGTTATACATTTCACATTTCGTATCATACATTTCACATCATACATTTCACATTGAACATTGAACCTTATGGCACAGTGCATACTAAACATTATAGACTAAACTCCAACTGTCAAATTGTGTACATTGCACACCATACACTTCACGTTGAACACTAAGAACCATAATACAGGATCACTAAAAATTAAATGTTGCAACAAACTGTATATCTGTAAATCTCTACACAGTACACAAAAAGCTAATCACTTAATACATACAACTACGCATTAATAAACGATTCCCATACTCGTCCATATTTGTCCTATCATTTCCATTCGCAAATTTAGTTACATTTATAGAAGGTACAATTTAGGAGATCAGTTACTTAAATCCTATCATTTACACGACACGCTGCATCCTTCACAGAAGGATCACTATACTGCTGACGCTAACCTGGGGCATCATCCAGATGTCCTACGACGGCCACATCAGATGCTTAGACAGCCTTGGCATGGACGTGTTCACCACGTTCACCATCGCCTCAGCAACCGAATTCCCATCGGAATTATTGATCATCTACACCTTGGACGTTCTTGGACGAAGATGGACGTTGTTTGCGTCGGTGGTGCTCTCAGGACTGTTCAGTCTGGCCGCTGCGTGCTTCTCCGTTGGCATAGTTTTCGCCTCGTTCGCCATTTGTGGCCGATTCTTCATCAACGTTGCTTCGAACATCGCGATGCAATACGCGGCGGAATTGCTGCCAACCGTGGTTCGAGGAGAAGGTGTAGCTTTCATCCACGTTCTTGGATACGTCACCTCGATCTTCAGCCCCTTCATCGCGTTCTCCAGCAGGATAATGTACAACATGCCCATGATCATCCTTGGAATGATCTGCGTTTTCGGTGGAATACTGTGCCTGTTCCTTCCGGAAACGCTGATGGAGCAGCTGCCGCAGACTTTGTTGGTAACCTACACAATTTTCATTTAAAACTTTTTATTTCAGCAGATATTTATTTTTTCTTTTTTTTTTCATGAAAGTATCCCGGTGTAATAATAATTTAGCCTCCATCTGCAAGGCTAAATGCCTAACACTCTATGACAATTTCTGTAATTACGATAATTTGTGACTTTGCTTGGAAGCGAAAGAAAATGACAACTTGGGAAATAGAAAATTTTAGATAGAAAGGGTAGGTTTGTTAATAACGTTTGAGTGAGCTCATAGGACGTTTAATAACCCTCAGGATCGACTGCTACATTTCGATACACCCTCTGTAAAACATTTTACCCTTCTAACCAATGAAATTCATCTCTTCGTTACCTTCTCCTTTGAATATTATTTTACATTTTTTACAGGAATCTTAATATTTAAAAAAAAAAGTTGTTTACTGTTACATTTCGTGTTCACTGAAAAAGTAACGAATTTCTACCATTCATTAATCGTCATCCCTCAATTCGAATCTTCTTCCGCCATCCAATATCCTATTTTTCGCTATCCATCAAGGATGGAGAGATATTTGGCATCGATCAGTCGTTCTGGGAGACGCCATTCACGAAGAAAAAGCCCCTGGAACCAAAGGGACATCATCTTCACGCGAAACGTGCTGCCTCTCGGCCGGATATGCTGCGCAGCAGCATGATTTCCGGTCGCAAGGGCAACGTGAGACGATACGGCGAGGTGAAACGAAGAGCAAGTCAAGTGCCATCTCCTACGAAACCGTCAGCTAGCACGAGATAGATAGAGTTGAAGAGAATTTACTATTTCATTTCTAGTAGGAATTTAAGTAGCATTCTAAGGTATTGTTAAGTTCGAACGAGTTTATTGAAGAGTATTAATTGTACTGTGTAAAGTAGATTATTCTTGTACAAAGTTGATTTTTCAGTCGCTGAATAAACGGAGCACCAGTAAGTACGCTAATTTTCATAAATATCAGCATTATGAAGGAGTTAATTAAATGTAACTATCAAATTTTTTAAACTCTTCTTGTATTTTTACAAGTTGACTGTTTTCAATTTTTCAGTAGAATCTGGTAACTAGCAGCTGAAATTATTTACGAAGGGAATGAAAAACAAACGAAGGAATTCTACATTTCAAAATTTCCCGCTCAAAATTAATATTTTTCTTTAAATAAAAATCCAACATTTCCGAAATGAGTTTCCCTCGCAAAAATTAATATTCTTTTTTAAATAAAAATCCAACTTTTCTGACGAAAGTTTTCTCCACAGGAATTACTTTTTTTTTTAATGAAAATAGAGCTGTTCCGAAGAAAGTTTTCCTCTCGAAAATTAATTTTCTTTTTAAACAAAAATCGAATTTTTCCGAGGAAAGCGGGAACTCTTCTGCGCTTAATAAAATGCAAACGAGAGTCTTCGAAGGTAATTTTCGAATCAGATTCCTGCAAATCTTCATCTCCCGAAAATACCAAGAAAATAATTTCAAGCCTCCCTGTCATTTTTCTCTAAAAATTTCACTACCTTGCTGACCGCTTCGATTAATAACCGTTACGAAGAACACGCCAGGACAGACGTTTAGTTAATTGGTGAAATTAGCGACAACATAGTCTCGACACGTGGCCTCGTTTAGCGACGACACATTTCCCACGTGCTCGAATTTCCTTTCCCTTTCTTTGAAAACGCATAAATCCGCTGGTCGTCGCGGGCTTTTCTTCTTGTTTCACTTGACGTTCGCCTCGCCGTGGGTGGTTGACTAAGAAAAGAACGTCGAGGAGAAGAAAATTAGAGAAAGGAGTTCTCTCGTTACGTCGCGGATTTTCGACTCCTGTTCTGTCCCGCTCATTTCTCACAACTTTCTCCAAAATCCTTCAGCCATTCTCTACTGATCAAAATCTATTGAAATGTCTTAAGAATGTAGCCTCGTTGTTTGTTTCTTCTAATTTTAATTTTCACTCGAACAGGAATAAAAACGAAATTTTCTGAATTTTTCATAGCGATGACTATCGAGAGATTTGGCGAGGAAATTGGGTAGAATGGGGTTTGAGATGGACTGAAAATACGTTGGAACGAGGAAGAAAGTAGTTTTTCAAAGTCGCTTCTTCAGTTTACCGAAAGAAATCCGAGACGAATTCATGGCTCGTCACTTGACACGACTAATGGGACCATAATGACCGGGCAATGTGTCCGTGGTGCCAGGCACACCCAAATTCGTCAACCATGCGGAAAATGGGGACCAGAGTGAAACGCTAGTCTTTCTTGTTGGCACATTCGTGCCGGTGGAATTTTCTTTCCCCGGAGCGTATCGTGACGAAATTTTCCAGTTCGATAGAGAAAGGCATTTCAAGTAAGAAATTTCTGAAATTTTGCACGAAATGGTACATTAAACTCAACAAATTATTCCTCGAATTTACGTTACACTTCACTGTTACATTTCCAATTAAATAGAATCTGTGCGTTCTAATATTATTAGTGAAAAATAGACCTCGTAATTTTTCCTCTGTGCTCTTCAATTCTTTGTTTTGCATAATCGTTTGGTATTAACAGGAGTTTCCAAGTGTATGAATTATAAATATTCTTCTTTTTAAGTAAGTTATAAATTTGTCTTTGCAGTTTGAAGAGATTATTTTAAATGTTATTTTTGTGATTTTTATTGGAGACATCATCCATTGTTTATTATCTTACGTATTTAACAGTTCTGATAGGTAGGTAGAATAACACTTTTCTTCAATTTTGAAAGAATGTCTTTTAAAGTTTAAAAAATGAAAAATTTGCAAATTTTTCAAATTCTTCAAAATTATCGTAGAACTGTGTACAAGAGCGACATAAATAATTATCAGCAAAGCCACTATTTTTACAGGCGTTAATTTCAAGTTACAGATACACCTATGTATCTCAAGTCCAATAAATTCTCAATCGCTCGCTCTTTACATCCCCGCCCCAAAAGCACCTCCAAACAGTAAAAAATCCATCTGTCCGACAATCTTCCCGAGCAAAAATTCCCTCCACCCCAACTAGGATGAAATACGCCCATAAATTCCCAAGGAAAATTTCCAACTCCATGAAACAAACTTCACACTTCCCCTAAAGTTTCCTCATCCTCGAACCACATCCTCTTCCAAGCGAAACGGTTCTCCATAACCTACGTCATAGCAACCTAAGAAACTTCCCCATAAACAAACTCCCCTAATCCACCTACCAACACCGCAGAAAAAAAAAAGAATAATCTCGAAGTAACCAAAGCGACGTCGACGAAAAGAAAAAGGAACACTTTCGAAAGGTACACAAATTTCTCGGCTCATTAGCGTCTCGGATGTCTCGGAGAAAAATGAAAGAGAGGAAGAAAGTTTCGAGCGAGAAGAGAGAAAGAGACTCGATAAGGACAAAGTGCCGGCCGGAACGTTTTACAGTCGCGGCCCTTTCTTTTCTTTTTTCTTCCTTTTTTTTACGAGAACTTTCGTTGGAGAACGCGGCCGCAATAAAACGCCCGCCATACGCGCCGCGGTATCTCGTTTTCAACCCCCTTTCATCCCTTTCCTAGCCGTGCAACGCCCATCGCGTTCGACCAGCCGGCGCACGATTACATTTCGTTACATTTCCACACCCCCACTTTTGCCTTTTACGATTTTCCAGCTGGTTTGCATTTCACATCTCTACAACGTCTTGTTCTCTCTCTCGCGACCGTTTCTCCAACCTCTTCTCCTCCCTCTTGCTTTAACGTTTCTTCGGTTTTATCTGGCGGCGGACGAATTTTTACACAGGCGCCACACACGCCGTTTGGCCAAGGTGGCGGGAGGTAGGGCGAGGTCTCACAAAGGATTCCATTTTCTCAAATAATCCCGAAAACGCGATAGAAAGCTCGTAAAGCGGCCAGGCAATCTCGCATTTACGAGCACACCACCGTTTCCGCTGTCAACGCGCGGCCGTTGCTCCTTGAAATACGGAAACCGCCTTTACCTACCCTATGCTTCTCGCTTCAGATTATTCTTTTCTTTCGTTGCGTGTGTTGGAGAGTTTTCAGACGGGTATGGGTGAATTTTCGGAATGTTTTCGACGATTATTTTTGGTTGTTCGTGATGAAGTGAATGGCGACGTTGAGGATTGTCGAGAAAAGAGGTAGTTTTGCAGTTTGTTGAAATTTTGTTCGCATCTTTTTTATCTATGTGGTGTGCTGTTGTCTGCGTTTAGGGGAATGTTGCTTAAATCGTGTCACTTGAGATATTTTATGTTATATTTTTTATTTCACATTAATTTATTCGCAAGTTAATACAGTGGATTCCGGTTAATTGGGACACGTTCGGACGGACTAATTTGTGAATGATGGCGTGAATGTCGTGTGTTTGTTTCGAATATATGTGGACAATCTGGGAGTCGGTACGATCTGTGGTTGATGCTCGAAACGACTTGAGATTGGCGAAGCTGGCAGTGTCTTTGTTGGAATGGGAGAGTAAACAGTAGAGCAGCGTGGTTGATGAAAACAGTAAGAGAGTGAGAATAAGTGAGACATAATCAGCCGATCAATATTCCCTTTAATGTATCGTTGTCTTCGTTGTGCAATTGTTCTCATCAAATACATTCGTGATAAAAATCTTCAACCACGTGTTATTCACCCACATAATTTGTCCCAAAAAATCTGAACACAAATTCGAAAAAGTCTTGAATACAAATGTGTGTTTAAGCATGCAACCAAAGCTAGCAATAAGTAATGAAAAATAAGTAAATAAACACATATATTCCCAATTGTTGAAGCAAAATGGTTTATGAGTACTGACATCAAAATCGACATCCTAGAATATTGGTAGGTTCATGACACGTCCGATAGATATGGTTTGGGGATGCCTGCGAACACCCCAGGTATAAAAGTGCACACTGTCACGTTTTGTAAGCAGTTCTAATTGTGCGCCCGTCTTGTCTACATCTGTCTGAACACCTTCTAAAATATAATTATTTACCTTACTCCACGCGAGTTATTTATTTAATATAACACCTCAACACCAATTAACCGGAATCCAGTGTATCGAATCCTTTAGTATTATAAATTGTAATATCTCCTTCAGTGGAAGGTTCGTGCAAATAGGTTCCTACGGTTTAAAAAAGCTTGCACTGGCACAATTTAGAAAACGTGATCGACTTGTTTACAAGTATGTATCAATTCAATTTTTATAGTAAATGTAATGTACAGGGTGGTCACTTTAAATTATTCTACTGTTGTTGAATTGATCCAAACTTTTTTGTTGTCTCATATAACGCAGTTCTGTAGTAATTATACTACATTTTTTTCTAATTTTTCAAGACCACCTTGAATTTTTTTTTTTATAACCATCTACAGTAATCCTGCTTTTAGCAAAATGCAAAGACACTGTTGTACAATCAGCTAAAGTATTGTAGATTGGTCGCAAGTGTTCTTACTTGCTTTCTTCACTCTTCATTGTTCCAATTTCGTCAATATTTCTCGTTGCTCGTCCATTTCACACTTCCGCCCCTGAACAATTTTCACACTCACCAACAACAAGTGACCGACAACAAGTACAGCTGACTAAAACCTCGGTAAAAATTCACCTGCCATCTAAATCATACCTACGCCGAATCACACTTACGCCCTTCGCAAACATTCTCCGCTCGAACCCCGTGCATTAATACCCTCCACTTGTTCCCTCCATCGAGATCATCCTTCATTTTCCTCGCACCACCCTACGCCGCAAAACATCCACCGACAAACACAATCTCCTTCCTACAAACCACCTGAAAATCGATCTTCACCGAACGTCCTAACAAACGAGCATCCTC